ACCTCCAGAAAACAAATACACTTATTGGTCCATCCATTATCCATATCAACTCCACAAACAAATGGACCAGTAACCAACTATATATTTCCACATCATCATACACCCTCCTTATCCTTACTCCCATTCCAAAGAACCTATCACTCACCCTTCTTGCTGACAACATTCATGGGAAGTCAACCAGTCCACAAAAAGGGATAAGAGAATGTTCAGAAGAGATTCAATGATATAAAGGGAGAAGAGAGCAACCAATATCATGAAACAAACAAAAATCTAATGATTTCATTATTCATCAATTGACAACTGGTGTTTATGAATATCAAAAGACTATTGTGGGTTTCTCATGGTATCAAAAGTGGTACTAACTGCTCTTAAAGGAAAGGAAGAACCAACAAGGCAAAAAGATGATGGAAATATTGAGTGGAATAAAAAAGATCAAGACTGGAAACAAGCAATTTGAAATTCTCAGATCATTAACACAACTTATGTTAATGGTTTAAAGAATTATCTATTGAGCACACGCCAGTCTATGACAACAGAAGACATTTCAGTTCCAAGAATGTCACCAAAGATGTGCTCACTGGAAAGAAGAGACTCTCAAGGACAGTAAGCTCCTAGTTGCTTGCTGAAAAACTGCTGACAAAGAATCAGCTGAAAAGATCTTCTTCTCCACCAACCAGGCATAAGTGGATGTATCAGACGATGTTCAATCCCAATCAGAATGGCCTTATTCAAAGAAGGATTGAACCAGCATCAACAACATCACACAAGGATTGTTAGGATCATATTGCACTGATAGTAGATTTTGATGATGTCTACAACAGTGAGATATTTCAAGTCAACAAGGGATCCTAGCATATCTAATTCTCAAAGCAAGAACCTGAATGTTGAACAACCTTGAAGAAGGAATATATATGCCAGAAAACACTGAAGGTATTCCTCCTTATCACATAACTCAGGGGAAACTACTCAAGGGTTCTAGGCAGAAATTATTACGTTCATCTTGCTTATGAGAAGAATATCACATATTGAGGGGGAACTTCTTCACCGCAATAAAAACTTAAGGAATGGACTCTAATTCAAAAGGAGCACCCTACTATTTTGTATAGTCTTATTTTTTAATAGGATCATCTTGCAAGTGTTCTATTAAAAATAGGAGCAACCTACTAAATAGCAGCGTCCTAATTTAGGAGCACCCTGTTAAACAGCCAAAACAATGCGAATAACAGTGTCCTAAAGAATGTCCATTTCTAAGTTTACAAGTCAAAAGGACTCAATCATCAAACATAGGGGGAATGTTCAAAAAGCTTCAAGAGGATACAATCAACCAAAGGATTGAGGGTTATTCAAATGAAGATGGTGATAAAAAGGCATGAGCAAACTCTCAAATCAAAGGCTGAAACAAAAAGCCTGCAGGATTTTTGAGCAACAAAGAAATGTTTGCTAAATTGCCACTTAATCTTTCAAAAGTATTCTAGGCTTCAAATGCATCTAATCAACTTCAATTGACAAAGTCCAGAAACCAGATGACTTGACTAGCTCTGAGGATCAGGCGGGATTTGTTCAATAAAAACAAATCATTATGGCAGAGATCGATCAACGTTCTGGATAACAGAAGGAGACGTTCAAAAGGAGAATTAGTTATGATCTACCAGAAACTCTAGAAAGAAGGAAAGAAGAAGGATGATGTCAGCAAGAAAAGCAGCAACACAGAACTCTTCAGAAGATTTTGGCTGCATGCTGAAATCAACAGAATACCTCAAGCTTCTGTTGGTGACCAGAACACCTCAAAGCAGTTATGTCGAGGAACAGAACTCCTGGTCAAACAGAAAAAGGTTCTGTTGAAACGCCTACTCCCAGTTTATTTTATGCTTGGAACACCTCAAATGTTTCAGGAAAATTTCAGGAAATTATTCTAAGTATGAGCTATCTGAAAAATCAAAGAGAAATTGCTCAAGACTGAAGGATCAAATCGGTCAACGAATATCCTGAAATAAAATATGGAGTATTTATCTGAATTCAGCCATGCAGAAAGAATTAATCTTGATTACAACAAAATCATGTTGACATTCGATAAGGTGACACATCAGTGAGCATAAGAGAGGATTATCTTCAAACAACTCAGAGATATGAAGAAGAAGGGAATTTATGATAACATGCAACCTACCATCACGACAACTGGTGATAAAGCAGCTGAGTCAACCACAAAAGCAACTTCATTAAATTACTGAAACTTACTCACTTATCTAAGTTGATTTTTACACTAAAAAGAGAGCCTGCCGCCAATCATTTATCAAGTTGCAAAATGTTCAATTACTATCCAACGGTAATTAAGAACGGTTATCATCAACAGGTATAAATATCATTTTTACCTCGCCCCATTTTCATATAAGCTCCCTCTCTCAACAAGCTCAAAACCTTCTTCATAACATAAAAAGATCCTTCATCATCCTCATCAAATGACGAACCCCTCACAATCCTCATCCCACAATATCTCTCTTGAAGTAAGCCTAGCTCCTCCACATATATCAACTCAATGAAGACCAGTTCTCTACCATAATCAAGAAGAGTGTCACTCTGCTCTTGAATCAAGAATGATCTTCGAAAGGGAGAAAGAAAATCTGCAACATGAGACTCTCAAAGTTATGGCTTGGAGGACATGGAGATTTTCTCCAATCAATTTTCTTCTTCTTAATGCACCCAGAATGGTTCAAGAAGAAGAATTTGCGTTTGAATGGCTGAAGACAAGAAACATTGAAATGTCATTGTCATTAAGATATATCAATAGAGTCTACCAAGTCAAACTCGATGATCTCAGACAGGCAGATGCAAAAAGGAGAAGGAGAGCAGGAAGAAATTTCCTCCGTGGAGAAACATCAGGCAGAAGACACCAAGCATAGGTGTTTGTTGCTTCCAAAAAGGGGGAAAATAGATACAAACACTTAGGACAATATTTTCTTATTTGTGTGTTTGTATTCTAGTTTTTGGCATCATCAAAAAGGGGGAAATTGTTAGGTCCCCTAGATTTTGATGAACAATTATTGTTTTGATGATGCCACCTCTTTTTATTTAATATCCCTGTAATAGACTAGCACTTGTATTTGTTCTACTACTGTTTACTGTTATGTGCTCAAAAGATATAAAGTACTCAAGAAAAACAGAGAGTACTAACAAGAGAAGAAACGTACCATAAAACAAAGTGAAAAGAAACAAAAGAAAAAGGTATGAAAAGAGTCAACTGAAACCCTTATAGAAAATCAGAGACTTAATCAGAGAATCATCAAAGACCTTCTGATCATAACAGAAAAACCTCAACTCTAATAGTTATCAAGACTGATCATCTGATAAACATCAGAGTTGAGACCTTCTGTTGGATCACCAGAAAACCTTCTGTATATGGTCGTAACAGAAAACCTCTACTGACCTCTTCATAGAGGTGGTTCTCTGTTGACACAAGAACAGAAGACCTCATAGGTATTCTGGTAAGGTACTCTGTTGAGGTATTCTTATTAAATACTCGATATCTACTATTCTTCTCTTAGCACAGAAACACGAAGACAGAAGACCCACTTGCAGTAAAAAAGATAGAATGTATAGAAGGTGATGTTTCAAGAAATTATGTGACAAAATCACTTGTAACATTATTTACTAAAAGCAAGTAATCTTATCTTGAGAAAGCATTGAACAACGCTCGACCTAGAAACTGAATTTCTGTAAGCTAAAAGGATAAAAGATAAAATGCCTTTTACCTTTACCTTGAAATGAGGAATCAAGTTGAGTGAGGATAAAATGATTCGTGTCACAAGAAGACAAGGAACGCTCATGGTGCACCAGTCAAGTGGAACAAAGCAAGTAGATCAAGCAACGATCAAGATTGGATCACTCAGCCAACGGAGAAGATTCAACAACAAAGTCTATAAATACAGAGGAGTGCGGGAAGACCAAGTGTGGAACCAGGTGGCATCTAGTAACACCATTGGCACCAGATGGCACCAAGCCCTGGTATATTGGAACCCAGTGGAGCTGAAGGGAATCAAGGAATACATGAATACATCCAATCAGCTGATTCACCTTCACCACTCTGGTTACCACCCCACTCATCTAATGCTATTAGAATAGCTCATATTCATACACATCTATAAAGCTTAGATTAGTTGGTAGATTAGTTTAAACCCATGTAAACTAGTCTAGTGTATACATTCTGGATGTGTGCGATCATCCAGAGGGTGAGGTAAGGACATGAGTAGTTTCTGGCTGGGCAAGCCATTAGTGAAAAACCTTGGAGGACATGAGTAGCTTGGAACATACTGTTCCTCATGAAAAACCTCACAATCTACGCCCGGGCCAAGGGTAGACTGAGCACTAAATGTAATGGGATATTCATTTAGTGGAGATCCATCTAAAATAGGTTGGGACTGGATGTAGGAGGATTACACCACCTCTGAACCAAGATATATCTTGTGGACCTTTTATATTAAGCACCCAACACATAGTTCAGTTCTCACTCACTTTCTCACTATCCCAAAGGCTTGCATATTCACTGACCAGAAAACTCCCTAAAGTTTTCTGTGAATCAGAACTCCTTACCTACGTACTTCAAAGAGATCTATGTCAATAGGTCTATATCCTTCACATAAAGGTGTTCTGTCCAAACCATCTATGTGACAAGTAAAAGGGTCATAACCTTTGTTTCTATAAAGTGTCACACTCTTGAGGTCAAGGCTTCCGCTGTATGTTTTAATATCTCCCAAAAGATATTAAAACACATTCTGTTAGAGGAAAAGGGTTGAAAAAGAAAAGATTTTTAAAAGTCTATTCACCCCCCCTCTAGACTTTTACCTCACAAAGGACCATCATATTCTATTACACCCCCTCAAACTGTGCGTGAGATACAACGCGCATGTTGTTCTTCAAAAAATAAAATTGCTGACTAGAAAGACTTTTAGTAAAAATATCAGCTAACTAGAGATGTGTAGGGATGTATTTCATTGTTAAAGATATTGCAGCTGTATAGATATTGCAGCTGAATATATGGTCAATCAAAGTAGATTATGATAGAGATCTGTTACAGCAGTATATATGCATAACTAATGTAGATTCTAGTCATTAAGTGTAGAATATACACTTTCCTATATTAGCTATTATACTCCTGTATATATTCAGCATTCTTTGTTTATTCGAAATATAAAAAACATTTCCATACTTCTCTATTTACATTCACGACCAAATCTCCATGAGCCACACGTTCTCTGACAAAATGGTAATCAATCTGGATGTGCTCGCTACGAGCATGCTGAACAGGATTAGCAGTCAAATAGGTAGTAGAGATGTTATCACAGAATAGCTTAACTGGGACTGTAACTGGATAACCAAGCTCAAAAAGGACCGAACGTATATGCAATGTATCTTGTACAGTATAGGCAACAACTCGATATTATGCTTCTGTAGAGGACTTGGAGATAGTAGGTTGCTTTTTGGACTTCCATGAGACAAGATTGGGACCCAAAAACACTGCAAAACCAGTTGTGGGACGAGACGTATCTGGACAGCCTGCCCAATCTGCATCTGAATAAGCAACCACACAGGTGGCCTGAGTATTTGGCTGAAGCCACAATCCATGATCAATTGTCCCATGCAAGTATCTAAAAATACGCTTGACTGCAAACAAATGAGTAGTACGAGGAGCATGCATAAACTGAGATACTAAATGCACATCATAAGTAATATCAGGCTGTGTCAAAGTTAAATATTGTAACGTATAAACCATACTTTGATATTCAGTTGCATCAGCTAGAAGTTCCCCATCAGTGAGGGATAGAGAGGTGCGAGTAGCAAGCGGAGTACGAACAAATTTAATAGTGTGGAGATGGAAACGAGAGAGAAGATCAAACACATATTTATGTTGAGAAAGAAATAAACCTTTAGCGGAACGCACAGCCTGGACTCCTAGAAAATAATGAAGATCACCCAAATCTTTCATAGCAAAATGCTTAGCAAAAAGCTGAATAAAGGAGTTAATAGTAGCGGATGAATTACCAGTAATAATTATGTCATCCACATATAATAATAAATAAATAATCAATTATCAGACTTGCTGCAAGTAAAATAATGAGACAATAGAAAGCTACTAAACCTGTGAAACCATGCCCGCGGGGCTTGCTTAAGACCATAAATGGCTTTTCGCAATCGACATAAATGATTAGGAAACAAAGGATGAACAAAACCCCGCGGTTGACGCATATAAACTTCCTCGGTAAGGTGATCATGCAAAAATGCATTTTTGACATCTAATTAACGAATAACCCACCCAAAAGAAATAGCTAATGTAAGGATAATACGAACAGTGGTGGGTTTAATGACTGGACTAAAACTTTCAGAAAAATCTACACCTGCCTGTTGATTAAAATCTTGAGCAACCAGACGAGTCTTGTGGCGCTCAATGGAACCATCAGAATGATATTTAGTCTTATAAATCTACTTAGAGCCCACGCCATTCTTAGTATTATCAAATGGCACTAAATCCCGAGTATGATTAGAAATAAGAGCATTAAATTCCTCAACCATCGTCTCATGCCATTTTAACTGTTTATATGCCTCTGAAAAACAAGTAGGATCAGCTGATAAAATGATCGTGTTTAAATTAAAAATAGTTTTGGGTTTAAAAATTCCCGACTTCGCCCTGGTTTGCATGGAATGATTGTTGGTTAAAGGGGCTGGATTCACATGTAATGGAGGTAAACTGGCCGTGGGTGGCTCTGGCGAAGGGGAAATTTCGGGAGGTTCAGAGGAGGTCACGGTTGGAGGGGTGATGGGAGATTGAAGTACTGGAGTGTGTAATGGGGTGTGTGCCGTGGAAGGAGGTATATGAGAATGGTGGTGGACTGATGGTGTGAAAGAGGAGACAACCGGGTTGAGCGGTGGCTGTGCTACCGTGGCAATGGGACTGTGGGTAGATGAGGTGGTGTTGGTGAGAATAAAATCAGCACCAAGAGGAGTGTATGAAGTGGAAGTATGACCCGTAGAAAAGGACAATGTGGCATATGGAAAAATATTTTCATGAAAATGAACATGTCTACTAATAAAAACTTTACCGGACTTGGGTTCCAAGCAACGATAACCTTTATAACCAGATGCATAGCCAATAAAAAAATGGACAGAACGAGGAGAAAGTTTATTTGAAGATGAGGCAGAAAAATTGGGATAACAAGCACACCAAAAAACACGTAAGAAACTATAGTCAGGAGGTTTTTGAAAAAGAATGTCATAAGGAGAAACACCAAAAAGATTAGGAGTATGAAGCCTCTTAATAATATATGCAGCGGTAAAAATAGCATCAACCCAAAAGGTGCTAGGAATAGAGGCTGTGAGGAGCATAGTCCTAGCAAATTCTAAAATATGACGATGTTTACGTTCAACAACACCGTTTTATTGAGGAGTATTACGGCACGATTTTTGAAAGTAGATGCCATTTTCAGTAAAATATTGTTGCATATGAGAATTAACAAATTCACCCCCTCCATCACTTTGAATTTTTTTTAAATTTTTGAATGAAATAAATTTTCAACTAAATCTTTAAAAACACGAAACTGGTGAATAACTTCATTTTTAGTACGCAAGGGATACACCCAGGTGAAACGAGAGAAATCATCAATAAAGCAGACATAATATTTGAATCCTAAATTAGATAAAACAGGTGATTTCCAAACATCAAAATGAATTAATTGTAATGGTGCAGAAGACGTATGACTAGCATCCGAAAAAGGTAACCGTTGAGGTTTACCCAAATGGCAAGAAATACAATCATGTTCAAAATTGGAGGAACTAGAAATAAGTTTTCTACTACGCAACAGGCGTAAAACAGTTTCGCCACAATGACCTAATCTACGGTGCCACACAGGGCCAGGAGAAGGAATAGAAGCTAAAGCTAATGGTGAAGACGGATTGAGGCTGATAGGATAGAGATGACCATTATGACGCGCCTGAGAAGAACTGCCCCCAAAGTTTTGTCCTTAACAAAAAAATATTTTTTTGTCAAAAATAGCAACACAGTTGTTATCAGCACACAATTTTTGAATAGAAATTAAATTTAATTTAATTTTAGGAACATGGAAAACCGAATTTAATGACAACGAGTGACTAAGAGTATTTAATTTAATATTTCCAATATTAGCAATGGGAAGAGTAGTACCATTTGCAACACTAACATACATGGAGCCATAGTAAGGTGATTTATTTGATAAAATACCTTCAGATGATGTCATGTGAGCAGACGCACCGAAGTCCGGATACCACAAGGCATCGTTTGATTCGCCACTTGGAGCAACCAAAGCAGGTGCAGAAGCCCGAGAAAAGTGAGACGGACAGTACAACTCATAACTTTTTAAGAACACTTAAGTTCTAAAATTAAGATATCATGTTTGCATAGCGCGATTTAATGCTTCAATTAGGGAACATTTTATTTATTGGCTGAGAGTGTTAATAAGGGAGCATTAAGTTCTAAAATATTATATTTAAAAACAACTCAAATCTAAACAACAGAATAAATAATAGTCTGTAGCTTTCCCTATTGACACTTTTAGTCAATAAATAAAATGTTCCCACTTTGAAGAATGAAATTGCGTTATACAATTAAGAGATCTTAGAGGCCATTTGGGGACCCCTACATATCGGCTTATTAGTTTTATAAGTCATCTTTTCCACAAACACAGATGTTTTTATTTTGCGGAATGAATTATATGATAATCAAAATAAGTGAGTTTTGAGTTACTTTTTTTACTGAAGTTATTATAGATGGAAATTTTAGCTATTTTTCATACTTCCTCCGTCCCTTAAAACATTGTCAAGTTTGACCGGCACAGGGATTAATAAATTAAAAACTGTGTGGTTGATATTTGTGTAGAGGAGAGAGAGTTAACTTAAACCACAAATTCTGTACTTAAAAAAGAATGTGGCAAAGTCAGTGGGACATCCAAAAAAAGAAAGTTGGCAAAGTTTTAAGGGAAAGATGAGTATATTTTTTCTTTATTTTATTAATAATATATATTTTAAATATTAAGGAAAAGTTGGCAAAGTTTTAAATATGATTACTTCAATATTAAACAAATTCGGTCAATTCAGCCTGAACTTCATCAATTTCAGCATAATCGGCCAATTTCATTGTTAACAAACAGACTCTTAATTTTAGAACTTGGATCCAATTAAGAAAAATTTTGAACTTAAAAAACTCCACCAATCGTATCTTTAGGTTTACTTTTATTTTTATAAATGCAATATTTTGCAATATTTGAATTTGTGGCTTAAGTGGTTGGATTGGCTGATTCTGTTGAATTGTGAAAAATTATACTTTGAATATATTTTATTCATAAAAAAATATGAAGATAGCTAAAATGGTCATCTGCATTAGCTTCAACCAATCCAATCATAAAAGTAACTTCAACCTTATTTATGTTGATCATTACACAACTTCGCGCACGAAATCAAAAATTGCATGTTTGATGAAAAAGTCGATTGATGAGGCTGATAAATAAAAAAAAACTGGATCACCAAATGGCTCTTAGTGATTTGATTTGCTAGCTTTCAGTTGCTAGCTTCATAAGATTCGGTCACCAAACGTCTCTAGGTGATTTGATTTTGCTAGCTTTCAGTAGCTAGCTTCATAACATTCGCTTCCTAATTCGATGTTTAAGAGAAACACGAACACTGAGTTAGGGGCTTTAATTTATTAACCAGGGTTCATTTTAGTAGTATTTTGAGAACTACTTTTAACTTGATTCTAATTTGGTAAATATTTTTTTCTTTGACATTGTTTTGAAAAAAACTCTTTATTATCCCATACCAAGTATTTACGTATAAGTATTAAATTACATTAAAAACCATTGACAGCTAAGGTGTCATTATTAAGACCTAAAAGAAGGGATCCATGTTATTCAAAATCTAATTTTATAATATGAATAGTTATACGCCGCAATCAAATTTCTAAAAAACTCAAGCTTAAATAATAAGAATTATCAACCATGCAATCATGACTATTGTATACTACTCCGTCCCCTTTTAAATGTCCCGGAAGAGGGTGGCACGAGTTTTAAGAAAAGTGGATTTGTGTGGTTGATAGTAATTGATAAAGTAAGAATAAAGTAAGAATGATTTTGAGCCACACAAACTTTACCAAATAAGGTATGGGACAATTAAATAGGAACATCCCAATATAGTAAAATGAGACATTTAAAAGGGGACGGAGGGAGTATTATAAAGTGTAAATTGTGGACATCGATCACACATAGAGAATTTATTTTTTGCAAGCAAAAAATTCATCCACGTATGCATAATACAATATGACAAAATATGTATTCTTATATGAACATTTTTTTTATATTAATAAAATTTTCCCGCACGGGTATAATACTAATAAATAAAACAAATGAGAGAAAATATCGGTTACCAAATAAAATCATCCATAATCATGATCCACCGAAAATACAGTGTCTCAAAAACCCCCGCCCTACCTTATGTTCTTAGAGGAAAGGGACAAAAATACGGGACATTTGCGTGTGACATGCCAAAATAAGGGAATCTCAATTAGGGTACACAAATAAGGGAGTCGGAACTCCCAATGCCAACTAGGGGTAAGGTTAGATTTTGGGTGGAAAACCTATCCTCGGGATTTGCCAATTCCGATTGGGTAGAGTAAATGACATTCTAAATTATGAGCTACGCTAAAGGTACCTCAAAGTTGTATCCCATTTTTACACCACTCCTAATGTGTGGTCATAAATGGGGCAACGTATTTAAGTGGGGCACCACTTAAATGAGTTGCCCCATTTATGGCCACACAATTAGGGGTGAGGTAAAAATGGGGTACAACTTTGGGGTACTTTTAGCATTTTACCTAAATTATACGAAGTATTTAATGTTCTATCCCTTCCAGATTAAATAGGAATGATTGTGTTTTAAACAAATTCAAAATTTACTTTGATTTTGATAAAAAATAAAAGGTTGGTTTGA